ATGATCTGCAATGGTTTTGCCGGTGTGGTCAGCGTTATTGATGGCATGTTGGATGCTATTGAAGACAAGACAAAGATTATGATAACTTGACAAAGAAAGCATATGTAGGGAGAGCTAAGAAACTTCTCATGCTGTCTTTGACATACAGAAGATCCATCTCTATAAACACAAAGCTTCTTCATATCTTATCTCTCAATAATAAAAGTCGTTCAAGCTAGCAAATTAATGTGATTATGCAAAGTCCTCTTGATAAAGAAGCTGAGATTACATCTGTCAAATTACCAAGAACAGAGCTATACCATACTAATCTCTGCTTGATCACCTTTTTATGATTATTGTATACATGTTTCATTCAGTTGCTTGCACTCTAGGATTCAAATTGACCTAATTGATCTCTGAGAATTATCCCCCCTGGCTGGCCAACTCTGGCACCAAAGATTCATACCAAGACTCTACAACAGGATGTGATCAGAGCTTGCTTAGATGTATATCAACTCCCCACAACACCCATCAACCAAAACAATGTAGACAAATACCTGCTGATCAGTAATCATTTACCTATGTTATAAAATAAAAAAAATAAAAAATAAAAAGCATACAATAATATTGAGAGGAAAAAATAGTACAAAACAATTTAGACAATGTGGTTGTTTTGTGTATTTCACTTAAGAATAAGATGTTCAAAATGAAAAGGAGGAATGCGTCTGCCGGGAGTCGAACCCGGGTCTATTGCTTGGAAGGCAATTATCCTAACCGTTGGACTACAAACGCAGATGATATCAAAACATCTAGAATATGTTTATCACTGAAAAACAGAGTGCCAAGAAAAAATATATATATTTTATGATACTGCCGAGTGCCACAGAGAGTCTATACAAACTCTATTTCATTCTGTGTCTCAGCGTGTATCTGGAACTGCAGCAATGGAGTCCATTTTTCTGACGCATGCAATCTCTGCAACAAATCACAGCTTTCGATGGAGAACAAAAAGGAACCCAGAAAATCCATTTCACACCCAAAGGTTTCACCTCCACAAACCAATTGGGCGACTTCAGAAAATCCGTTCCAAACAATCGGATTTCCAAGGTACACCCATCCAATCCTTTGCCACTTGTTTGGGATTCCTTCATTTGAAGAAAGATAACTTCTTTATTTGGTATCTGAGAAAACCCAGGAAAATTTATGAAGAAGGATTGAAAAAACCCTTCTATATTCAGCTGCTCTGTTGCTTTTTGGCACTGGCGCTAATAATTTCTTAGCGTTTTTCGAGTTTAAAGACGAAGATGGTTGAAAGCTTATGTGCCATGATTTTATTATTATGATTTTGGCCTGCTCTTTAAGTAATTCACCCCTTCTGTCAGACGTGTACTCATCATTTCAAAACTTTCAACTAGCATATTTTATTTTCTTAGGAAGCTGAATCATATATATAAGCGTTTGTCTGTGTGTGTGTGTGTGTGTGAGAGAGAGAGAGAGAGAGAGAGAGAGAGAGAGAGAGAGAGATTAATCATAGGATAATAATTAACTCAAAGCTGTTTTCATTTTGGTTGTATCAAATCCATTACAAATCAAAGTTTGAATTATTCAATGCCTGTGAAATTTTAAAGTAATTAACTTTCGTCAAATGTGTACCTATATTTGGTTTTTCAAATAATCAAATGACATTGGAGGAGAGGGAATACAAACTTGGTACCTCGGATGGATGTAGGTTTGTAAGCTACTTGCTCCCACTATGGACAGATTTTATGAATACAAGTGGCAAGTTTCATGTATGTAGGCATAAATGTTGTAAATTTCTCATCAGTGTGGCCGGCTAACTGCATACATCGTTTGTTTTCTATATGTTTCCACTTTAGATTCTATTAATTTTTCAATAAGCTAAAAGTTCTCCCTTTTTTTCTTTAGATTTAAAGGGTTATGCAAAGCCTTCACGTCTCTTGCCAGCTACAGAAGTGAAAGTCTGCACAGATAACTCAGTGGTAAAGGCTTTCTCATCTTTAAGTGATGATGGATCTCAGTCTCTATATAAGGTTAAGTTAGGTACTAGTAATGTTTATGGCTCAAGTCTCTCTGACTTGAATGCTGGAATCCTCCTGTGTGTGATAGACGAAAACGGTGACTCCATATTACAGAGGATGCCCTCGAGTTTGATAATAGATCATTCTACAGAGTCCAAGGATGGCATACTTCACTTTCAACGAGGTTCTGTTGATGAGTTCACCTTTGAGGGACCCAAACTTGGAAAAGTTGAAGCCGTTTGGATCAGTCTTGAATCAGGTAGTCTTTACTAGAATTAGTTTAGCATCTGGAGGCCAAGTATAAGGCTATAAACCGCTGAACACTTTTATAATAGCAGATTCACTATTTGTAGTCCTGTCTCTATATACATGCCTACTAGTTGAATTTCTGTAGAATCAGAAAGTGTGAGCTTAAAAAACCGGCTTTACCCATGTTTGACCAAATCATGCTAACAATTGTTCTTTAAACTCTCCAAGGTCAGGCCAATGGAGGTTAGGAAGTGTGAGCTTGACCGTTATTTGTGGGCAACAAAGCTCTTTGGAGGAAAAAGATGGAGAAAAACTTCAGTATATTGGTTTCAATTACAACTTTGAGGTTGATGATATCTTGCTGGGGGAGGGAAGTGATAGTTCCATGGTGGAACTTAGACCTTGCCTTGTCACTAAGCTATCTGGGGTTGACCCGTTCACCATCTTCAATAAAAGCATCCCTGAATCAACCATGCTTGTGGGCCGTGGGATATCAAACGAAGAAACCATGAGAGAATATGAAGATTTGAAGTTATCTTTGCTACTTTATGATGCCATGCTGATCTTTGTTGGTACATCAGTCACATCCTTCTCAGCGGGGGAAGACGTGAGTTTTGCGTTTTTAACTGGTGGGATTGGCGGCTTCTTGTATCTGCTGCTACTGCAAAGGTCTGTTGATGGATTACCCGCTCCAGAATTGACTTCCAGTAACACAGGAAGGCCCAACCAAATCTTTGGAGGATCAAAGGGCCGAATATTTGGTCTTGCATTGGCAATTGGTTTTGCTTTATTCACAGTGAAGTATGGCTCGGGGGATGCCCCCATGGAATTCACACCTAAGGAACTCATGGCTGGGATGATCGGATTTCTTGCATCTAAAGTTGCTGTGGTGTTGGCAGCAGTTAAGCCCATGCGAATTAGTCTAAAGATAAACGAGTGATATATCATCTCTGTTTCCACTTTGAGGAAGAACGAGAGAGGTGGAAAGATTTACAAACTTGTATAGGACCTTCAATGGAGACAACCCAGCTGTATTGTATATATTAGGAAAAAGAGCTGCAGATTATTACACTCAAGTTACACATCATTAAAGTTAATAGAACGAAAATTGTTCTGTTCTTAGAATTCCCTGTTGAACTCTTTTTTTACCCACTTGTTTTCATCTGGCCAACGTTAAGTTGCTCGATCGGTACATCAAATATAAAAACAAACTTGTTTCTTCTGACAAAAGAAGTGAAACATGTCGTGGAAACACGTTGTTCTCCATGTCAATATTAAGTTAATAAAGATGCACATGCATGGAAGATGTGTTTCATCAGTCAAAGATTGCATTATTTTTTTAACATAGTTATTTTATATGTTTCTTCATCAGCATACAACAGCGCTGTTATGCATCAACTTCTTGCTTTAATTTATCTTCATTGTGTCCCCTCCTCTCCACCCCCAGAAAATTCTGGATCAACTCGTGCCATTTCATGAGCAAATACTTTGATATTGGATAGATTTGAGATCCAACATTATTTTATATATGATCTTTCCCAATTCCAATATATGTGCTCCCCAAAGAGAATACATATTGTTGTGGAACCTTTGCTGCCATGGCCATGACAGCAAGGCCAGCCATGGCTGTTCCCCCCTCCTCCAGCTAGCAAAAAATTATTAATGCTCTGTTTCAGTATTGTCAACAAAAGTGGAGAAAAATTGGAAGCTAGATTTTGAAATATGAAAATATTATGTATCTGTTTTGCAACGATTTTGAAATGAAAGCCCTGCATCTTGACATCTGAAATCTTAAAATGATCTCCAATTCAATCTTCCCCAATGCAAAGTTAAAAATGTTATATCTCATGTCAATAACTGGCCAAAAGAAAGAACTACATGGTCAATTTTTTCACTTATCCGCTTTTTTGTTTTTGTTTTGCAAGGCTAGGAGGAGGAAACTCACACACACGCGTACCGTGGGAGTTGGAACCCAGGACCACTTGGAAGCACACCAAAGCCTGGGCCAATCAACTAACACCTCATTGGCCAAACCTCTCATTGTTTTTTAGCTCCAATGTCAGGATGTGTTTAGCAATTATAATTAAGTATTTTCCAGGCCTACTTAAGCATACTTTTCATACAAAATGACAACAATTTAATCTGTTTCATCATTGTTTTTTACACTGTTTATTTAACTAGTGTGGGAATCTCTTCCACATAAGCACCCTAAATCTAAACATCACTCCAGGACAAAACACCAAAAAAAAGCACCAAGGAGACTAAAGGGGTATCTTATGCTGATGAAGATTCTATTATGAGATTACACAACAAGACAGTCTGCAACAATGCTTGGGTAGATAAGCTTAAAGACAAACACTTCCACTTTGTAAAACACGTCACTTCCTCCCACCCAACAAGGTTTTTGTATTTAAGTTGTGTTTGTTAGTTGACACTGTATTATCTACCATAAGTTTTTATTTTAAACCAGAAAGAGGTAAAACTTATCAGAAACATATTTTGGCCTTTCAAAATTACCATACCAAAAAAAAAGTAACATTTGTAAATAAATTGAGGTAAAAAAGTCTTGAACATAATATCCAAGGCCGTTGCACTAGTGGGCCAGACCTGCATAACAGTCAACAAAGTACATCCAAATATCCTAGCTACAGTAGGATACCACATGAAAGAGAGAGGTATTTAAATGCAGAGGAGGTGTTCATACATTGTCATTTCATATTTTCAATCTTTCTTTCTAGACCATTTTTTTTGTTTGGGTAAAGAAGTAAAAGAATTGCCAAATGCGTTCAACATTTTCCCTTGCAGCAAAGACTTACATTGGAGAGAGCAATGGAAATTTTCGACATAGAAAATCCATGGTCACAGCAACAAGAGCTGAAGTGATTACAGTTCCCAAGCAAAGAAGCAGACCTGTTTTTCCTGAGTTATCAATACAAGGCATTCCTATTGCTGATTTACATGTACAAGAAATTGTTCAAAGGCAGTCTCAGACTTACAGCATGGACAAAGAAGGCGGCCGCAGAAAGCCACAGTTCTGTCCTAGCTTTCTTGAAGAAGCATATGAAAGGTGCAGGAACATTTGTGCAGAATATGCAAAGACATTCTATCTAGGTCCAACTTCATTACCCTTCTTTTTTCTTCCCAACAAATTTTTTAAACTACATTCTAATTAGTGATCACTTTTTTCATGAATATGAGATTCAATTCTGGTGCACTCTCTTGATGCAGGCACTTTACTAATGACAGAGGAGCGTCAAAAGGCAATATGGGCAATCTATGGTAAGAATTATAACTTCAAGTTCATATATAGTAGCCAGTGTTGGAAGAAAAATCATGTTCATAAATGAAGATAAAAGGGGAAGTTAATATGTTTGTAATGTAAATAAGCAACTATAAGTTTAATCTTTTGGAAATCGAATGCAGTTTGGTGTAGAAGAACAGATGAACTGGTGGATGGTCCCAATTCTGTCTACATGAGCTCTGAAGTTCTTGATAGATGGGAAGAGAGGCTGCAAGACATTTTCGAAGGACGGCCTTACGACATGCTTGATGCTGCATTAACACACACAGTTTTCAGTTTCCCCTTAGACATCAAGGTGGGTGCTTAGAGAATATCCCATTAAATTCAAGAAAATGATTCCTTGTAAAATTGGTAGCAGCCATTTTCATCTGATAGAATATCCTTGTTGTGACCAAAGCCTTTCAGGGACATGATCGAGGGTATGAGAATGGACACAAGAAAATGTCGCTACCAGAATTTTCAAGAGCTTTATCTTTACTGCTACTACGTGGCAGGGACGGTCGGCCTAATGAGTGTTCCTGTAATGGGAATTGCACCAGATTCTCTGATTTCTGCTCAAAGCACATATGATGCTGCACTATATTTGGGCATTGGAAATCAACTCACAAACATCCTTAGAGATGTTGGGGAGGAGTAGGTTTCTTTAACATGTACTAATTGATCATTTTCAGTTTCTTCATTCACTTTGTCTCTCTGATCAATTTTTTCTGTTCTTCTTTTTTTTAGTGCTATGAGAGGGAGAGTTTATCTTCCCCAAGATGAGCTAGCACAGTTCGGGTTAGGTGATAACGACGTTTTCTCAAGAAAGGTGACTGATCAGTGGAGAGAGTTCATGAAAGAACAGATTACAAGAGCAAGGTTCTATTTCAACCTGGCAGAGGAGGGAGCTTCTCAGCTTGACAAGGCTAGCCGTTGGCCGGTATATACCTCTTCCTTCCATAATTATATTTTTTTAATCATCTTGCGTAGCAGTTGAAGGTTCAATTCAATTACCTAGAACTAAGGTGTGGATCATTTCGGAGGCTAGAAAACAAACCATTGCACTTCAAAGAAAACGTCAACTAATAGAATACACAAACACAAACAACAAAAACGAATGTGGTGTTGTTTTGCCTGTTTGACGTTTATAAATGCTGCTTTCGACTTGTTGGGGTTGAAAAACATAGTGTATCCATCAACAAAGAAAAGTTTATTATTCTGATGATGATGATGTACTTTTGTTTTGCAGGTATGGTCATCGCTACTGATTTATCGTAACATCTTGGATGCAATCGAGGATAACGATTACGATAACTTGACAAAGAGAGCATATGTAAGGAGAGCTAAGAAACTTCTCATGTTGCCTTTGGCATACTCAAGATCTCTGTCAACAAGTAGCTTGCTCTCTCAGCAGCACAAAATCTTTATGATAAAGAAAGAAGAAGGCTGAAATTATATCAAATTAATGAGAAATATGTTTTGCGTGGAACAGAGCTGTGTGTAAATCCTGTACATGTTTACTGCCTAAAGATGTAAACACTTTTCTTATTAACGTTGGCGCATCTATCTCATTTTCAACTTTAGAACTGTTATTTCACCCTATCTAATGGAAAGCACATCTTTAATGGGTAACAAGATTAAGATACTTGTTGTCGTCCAAATTGCGGTCCTAAGGCTTGCACACCTGGCAGACAATTCAGAATCTTAAAATGGAGAAGGCCGGACTGGCTTAAAAAGTACACGGTGTTGGTATGATACAATACTGAAAGTGGAACAACAAACTGCCACATGCAATTGAAGTTGAGAAAAGTGAAATGTAATGGTTTGTGTGAAGGAGTAAAAAGGGAGAACTGCCAGACTATAAATTGAATTAGACTATGGGAAAAAAATTAAAATTAAAAAATAAACCTATTGGATAACATTGTATTCATTACTAAGGGGAAAAAATAATAAAAGCACCCATTATAGGAAGTGAGCTCATCATCCCTCTACAGATCGCCAACCCCCAAAAAAACCATCCTTCTACAGAAAAATTAAATTTTTTTTAAAAAAAGGTAGAGAGAAGTAAAATCAGAACAGAAGATGCCACATTGTTTGCTGGAAATGGTACATATGCTGCAACAGTGTCGCCACCTCGGATGCTTCCTTTTGCAGAGACTCGAGTACAATCCAAGGAACCCTCACCTGCCAATCTTACACGATTTTCCACAACCGACCACTATTGTGAAACTATAACCTTAGAGTTAAGTAGAGCCCTGGATACATAAACCTTCTAGCAGGCAACCACAGCAGGTAATTCAGCAACTGATTTGGCGGTTTCATTATAGGAAGTAATCAGGTGTTCTTCGGGTCACATCTGGCTCTCCCCTCCTGGGAGCTGGCTCAAACTGTAATACATCAACCCCAACGTTTAATCATTCAATAAATTATAACATATCACTTATATTCTAGTGTCAGAGTTTGCGAGTGTGGATAGGGGACTAACCTGAATGAATGTGTGACCTTTGCAGTCATCGACTTCAAGGATGGAAGCCATATTTCCACAGCGATAACAATAGTTGGGTGCACTAAATATAGTGACGACTTTTTGTTCCTGCCATAAAATAAACAAACTAATTACACAAACTTTCCTTCCCAAAATAAACCATCTGCCAATACAACCACAAAATGAGGGTAAAATACTCACATGACCCCAGTTATATCCTTCCATGACCAGCTGATGTGCTCTAGCAATCAACTTTAAGTTATTTGTATGATTGAACTGCTCAGATATGTCCTGTTAAAGCAACAAAAGGAAGCAGATAAGCAAAGTCTGGCGGGACTGGAGAGGGCCGGTCAACTGAATTTCAAACCATCAACCCCAATAAGGAAAAAAATGAGCAGATAAACTACCTGACCAAAAGTATATCCAGCACCCCTGGGAGAGATACCCCAACCACAGCGATCATCAGGGTCAGACCATAGAAGATCGCACATGGGACCCTCATGAGGAACCTCTTGTACACGGTCAAAATTACGTATATTATCAAGGGTTTCAATGGATGGAGACAGTCCACCATGCAGGCAGAAAATTTCAGATTCAACCTTCAACCAAATAAAAGAAAATATGTCAATATATGGGAAAATGATTAAACTATTTACCCGCACCTAAGTTTATCAACAAAAAATATATAATGAACGATTTCCTTAACTACTTACAGTAAAAAAAAAAAATTGTGTAAAAGAAAAGATGGCAAAGGTAGCCTAATTATCAACATGGTTGCCAAACGATTGGGGGTAAAACTCTACATATACCTAAATCATTCTAACAAGTTGTTGATAAATTAAATTGTGAAGTATAAGCTTTCAAATTTAGCAACAAGCAAAGAAACCAGACCGCTATCACTTCCTGATAGCACAAACAAATAAAATCAACTTCTAATCATTGCAAAGCAATTTTCGACCATTGCAAAGCGACGTTAATGCCTACAACAGCTACGGCCACATTATTAAGGGTTGCGTCACAGGCTAGATTTGGTGATATACAACATATGGCACAAAAGATGCAAAGTAGTTCAACGTGACAAGTTGTGATAAAAGTAATAGCAGTTTGCACTCAAGCTGATGTTGCAACATGGTTGACAAAGGTAATAAATTAGAAAATGCATTAGAGGGGCTCTTGCAATTGAACTGGTAGCAATGGAATAGAAGGTTTCACCCAGAAATGAAAATCTTCAACCAATACAAATAACAAGAATGTTCACGGTTGTGTACTGCTAACCTAAACAACTGACCTACATTGACCATTTAAGCATCATAAATATGTCATGTATAACTATACTAACCAATGCTGTCAGAGGGAAATAGTCAAATAAATCTGTAAAGATCTTCCAAACATTGGCATTACCATACCTGCACATAGAAGAAGAATGGGTTACCTTTACAAGCTTGACAAATAAGATATATACAATTGAGAAGGACAAGGGAAGTGTGAAGCAGAAAAATGCACACTAGTTGACTGATCAATCAGTCAACTTCAGAGGCATAAGAGATTAATCCGGAGCAACAGTAAGTTAAATTTTTTTAAGGTAATGTACATCTAAAATATTATTGAAGTGATACACTACAAAAACTGATTCACATTATAGAGTTTTAATAACTTTTAAGTACATTCAACTGGACACGATACACCTGAATCAGTAAAAGAGTAGGATCATGAAATCAAATATAAGCATACTGAAAAGCCAGCCTATAAATGAGAATATGATAGGTGAACAATATGATATATGGTTGATTATGGAAATGAAAAGAAGCACAGAAAGGCTAGAGAGCACAAATTAGCATAATAGCAATTTCAGCTCTGAACATACTATATGAAGAGTTCACGGGTATCTATACTACATGCCTGCATATACATACACAAAACAGGGCTTACCAGTCACTGAAACAACCCTTGGTTAAAAATTAAAGGGCAATCTCGTCACAAAATAATTTAAGTTTTGCTTCCCTTAATCCACACTGACTTCTAAAGTATAATGAAAATTTTCTAAACAAAAGTACATGTAAAAGACCACCTTTACATGCATATACTTTTTAGACCTGAACCTAGGCGAATGGAGAACAGAGTCCTTCGAGAAGTCACAAACCATACAAATATCTTAATTGTATCAAAATTGACCCCACAAAACAAGAGATGTTAAAGAAACTCACTTCCGTAGGCACTCATCATAAAAACCATAAACTTGAGTAATCTGCACGGGGAAACATAAAGCCATAATCAACATGAACAGTTCCCTTCGGAAAATGAGAATCCTATTTTGATAAATTAAAAACCAAGCATGTAAATCCTACCAAACTGATATGAACAATAATGCCATATTTAATGCAGGGAGAAAAAAAGTGACAGAAGAAAAAGTATACCTGACGGCTTTCATGATTTCCTCTTAGGATAGTAATACGTTGAGGATAACGCACCTTCAAGGCAACCAAGAGCTGAATAAAAAGATAAAGAGGTTATGACAGACATAAACAGATGTGAAAAAGCAAGATGGCACATCGTTGAAAATGGGAAATTCCCAATATAAGAACATTATGTTTCTTAAGTGCAATCCAAATCAAGTCCAGTCTCATTGTCTTTATATGTATTACACATTTTTTCCAGTGCCCCAGAAACATATAAACTAAGGTGTTCATAGATCGAGATAAAACAGGTTTGGAGTATTTTTCTATCCGACCCGACCTTCTGTCAAGTTTTAAACCATACAAACCAAAATGGAGGACAATGATCTTGACATGTACAACCTTGGAATCCAGGAAGCTCTGAAGTATAAGGCTACTAACGCAACACATAGCTCATGCTCAACATATATCCAACTCTCCTAAAGTAAATTTTGAAGGTCTTAATAACTGTAATTTAATTTGTTATATTGAACAAAACCACATAAATTTAACCAAATTCTAGTCCAAGAGTTTCCAAAATATCTTCATATGTTAGTGCCAACATGAGGAGAACCCCAAAATTACAACTAAACTTATTGAATGATAAAAAGCAGAAATAAAAACACTAATACTTACTGTCACTGTTTCAACTGAATAATAGCCACGATCCACATAATCTCCCATAAACAAATAATTCGTATCCGGACACTACAAACAGAAAACATCACACATAAAGATCAGTCAGATAACAATACAAGGCTGATTATCCCTCACACTTACACTTACACTTACACTTACACTTGATTCACTACTTCTCAGTGAACCTCATAAACATTTTATTATAAATGAAATAGACTAATCACAAAATATATCATTACAAACTCACATGTACAGAAAATACAAAACATATGATTCTTAAAATCACAACACTTCCATTAAAAAGTCCAGAACTTACTTTAAGCAGAACTAAATAGCTCAAATCAAACAAATACCTTTCCTCCAATGCGGAAAAGCTCGGCAAGATCATGGAATTGTCCATGAATATCACCACAAATAGTTACAGGGCTTTTCACAGGCTGCAACACATAAAAACCAACATGATTATTTGTACCTCAAGACATGTCAATATTATTATAAGCTCAACACCTGTATGATGTAATAAAAATAAAGATGTGAATGAACCGCCAAAATGAAAAAGAGAGAAAAGAAAGAAAGGAAATACGGTTATCTTTAACATAATACCCTTTTATTATAACAAATAAAACCTAACTATTCTGCTAAGGATTCAGATCAATAAAATTAATTAAAACCTTTCATTCCAAAACTGTTCAGCTTTTGATTCTCTCCCTCCAAATTCCTCCCTTTCTTTCCTTAACAAACTCACCATCAAAGGACAATTGTAACTCCTCCTCACCAAAACCCCTTTCTCACCATTTACTTGCTATTCATGCAAACCTTGATAGCAACACATAAGAGTATCTCTCATATCAAACCCCCAACCAAAATGTACTTGTGACTTGTTACGTGCATGATTTAAGCAACTTAATGCATAAGTTAACAATATTAATCTATATTCTTCAGAGAAATTATACACATGGAATTAAAATTAATGAATTCAATAAAAAGGCCCACCTGGACATTGCTTTCTTCCATTAATATCTCCTTGGCCTTCTCACAGAGCCCCCTTACCTATATTAAACAAATCAAGTTGACAATTACTTTAAAACATTGAAGGATGAAAAGGCCTATATGCTTAAAGAAACTCCAAAAACACAATAATAAGATAAGGTCTTTAACAAATTTAAGCTGGACAACTGAGCAAGCAATAAAGAGAATTGTTGTCCACTAAGATAACTATCACAATGCTCCGGCAAAACCAAAAATGAAAGCTTAAATATAAACAATCTAATCTAATGGAGGGCGGTGAAAATTATCTTTATCTGAACTTACAAACATGTGCATGACATTAAAACAGATATAAGCTCCTGAAAGTAATAGGCAGTCCTCATGAAGATGGTATCACTGTCATCTTAATAAAGCAAATAAGACTGGTGTACCATGAAAAATAGCCAGCGTTCTGAAATCCAAGAAGCAATCCAACAATCTATGCAATCATATACCCACACAGCCCTCCCTCCCTCCCTCCCCAAGAAAACTGGGTAAATCAATGGTCAGATGGATGGATGCGTAGATATATTACTTTAAAATTCCCAACTAAAAGCAGAAAAAAAATACAAATAGCATTTACATTATCTAGCAAAGGTGTATAGCTTTTCCTCCAAGTATGCAATAGAAACTTAGGAGGTTTAAAACAATTGATCTCAGTAGTGTCTGAAATGAGGAAGATGTCATTATAGCTCCTGAACAATTTTTTACAATATTTTATACAACAACACTGTAACCATTTAGCCAAAACCATACTCAGCATATTGCACTCCAAGAAGCCTTTGTTAATCATAAATCCGTAAAGGTTTCTAAATCTGTTGAAAGATTCGGATTTGAAGGCCTTGACACTCAATTTTTATTTTCCTGTTCATGAACCCATGTGCTGAAACGCTATCACGGGAAAGGGGATCTGACCCACATTGCCGACAAAGAACCCAAGTCTAACAGCAGAATAAATCAGTGCGACCAAGAATTTCATCCATTTCTTTAGACTATCCATTTCGGTAGTAAATCTTATATTAGAGAAAATCCATATCAGCGAATAAGCAAAATCTCCAATGGATCCCCAAGATATAAGGAATCACAGCCCTAGATCGGTCCCATGAGAACCCTAGTTGAGCTAAATTCAAAGATCACGCCCAAAGTTGCAAACAAAGAAATGCACGAGATTTCTCGATCTGGCCCACTTAAGCCTTAACATTTCAGAATCCGATCCGTCTCATTTTCCAAAATTTAGCACAAAATCCCCACACAATAACATTCAAACCAACACATATATATAAAGAAAAGAACAGAAATGGCAACGGACTGAAATGATGAATATAGTGAATAGTAATGGTGGAGGTACCTCTGGTTCGGACAAGGGCTTGCACTGCATGAGCTGAGCAATCTGCTCATCCAGGTTCCCATGTGAGTTCGAAGGGACCGCATCCATCCTGTTCCTCCTTCACTTCCTCTTCCCGGAAACGCACCGTTTTTCACAGATCAAGATGCCCTCCGAAGCCCAAACCCTGGATCTGCAGAAAACCCTAGATTTCTCCTCCTCTTCTTCTTCTTCGTTTTCTTCTTCGAACTTCGCAGAGATAGAGAGAGAGAGAGAGAGAGAGAGAGAGCGGTGGTGTAGAAACCAAGGCTTTTTAGTTCTTTTGAATTTTTATTTCTTTTTCTTTTTTCACTCTCTGGCACTCTCTTTTTGGATTTAATTTATATTTATATTTATATTTTATTTTGGTCTTGGGAGTTTAAAACGATAAATGGGATTGTAGATGGGCTACGCGCGTGTGATGATTGGACCAATGCATGGGCTTTGCCCTGCCGAGCGTGTGGGAGTTTTGATTGGGTGGGTTTGAAGGGCGCGTGAGAGACAAGGTATATATGTGTGTTGTTATTTAAGATTGTGGATGTAAATCATGGATCAACGCAAGTGCGAGATGTTTTTTCAACAAATAAAGTAACGACTCAACACTCATATTCAAACTTTCAATCCAACCAAATTACAAAACAACTTTAAACTCAAAAATACAAAAGGTGCCTCGCATTAAAAAAAAATTTACAAACGGTGCCTAATCATCGAAACAAAACAACTTAAATCGTCACACACATTGTTAATGTGGGCTAGGTTGGTTGGCTATAGTAGTATGTTAGTCTCATTACACCCAAGTTTGTTTGAATCTCTATTTTTGTAAATTAGAATAATTTACAATATCACTTGTGCAATAAAAAATATATATTAACCACATTCTTCATAGTTTATTGGATGGAATTGTTAGGAACCTTATAGCGAAATAGGTTAACTAACTGAGAGTAATTTAGATTATCATTTGTGTCAACAAACAAACAAAATTAACATGTATTGACAAGTTTTGTATGGTTTAGGGGAAATTAGCTTTAAAAAAAGTATTTGTTGTAAATTCACATTATTAATTTCATAAAATACTTAATTAATTATTTTAAAATTTGTGTGGACTTTAATTTTCCTCGGGACAAAATATTCATTTGTATAGCTAATTACTTAATATTTTTTCAATAATAATTGTTGTTAGAGAAATCAGTTGTGAGATAAAGCAGTTTGGTGTTTGGTAAACTTTTTGTTACAAGTGTTGTTGGTACCGATTCCAACATAATCAGAAAATGATTGCTGCATAATCATTAAACCCAACGCATCTTTGAAACTTATTCCTGCATAATCAGAAAATCAAAGCACCTCATTAGTTGTTCCCTTATAGCTTTCTCTCACATCAATTTTTAACAATAAGTGATTTTCTCATAGTTTATCTAACGGGCTGAGCTTCCCAAAATTATTTAAAAATCACTTATCACCCCAAATAAGTAATGTCAAACCGGCACTTAGTTATTATTTCTTTAGTGAATAATTACTATTTTAATATTTTAATTAGTTTCATAAATTACTTCATTATTCATTATTAATTATTTTGAATTATTTTGTGGACTTTAAAAATTAGTTTTCATTTCCAAAGTTATTTTAAAAATAGTTTCGATTATTTAAAAATCCTAGAAAATTATTTTAAGTACCCACAAATATTTTAATTTTAATTTTAATTTTAGTATTCCATAATTGGATTTTAGCCTCCAAACCCTAAATATGAGTCTCGAACCAAAAGCCCTAGTTTCCAAACTTGTTCCAAAGTTGTTCTCAAGCCTCAAACCCTAAATCCTTGCAACGAAAATTCGTCGCAACAAGTCTAGGTTAGGTCTGGTTACATCCTACTCACTCAAGATTGAGATCAAAACCTTAATCATAAAGTCCTAGGTTGAGTTACGTGAGTATCGATGCTTGTGAACGTTTTTGGAACAAGTTCGGATGAGTTTTTTTTTAAACAAAAAATGGATTTTACCCTCCAAACCCTAAATCCAAGTCTAGAACCAAAAACCCTAGCTTCCGAACTTGTTCCGAAACCGTTCTCAAGCCCTCGAACAGTAACCATAACCTTATTATAAGGCACTTATCACTCGATTAGGCTTGGATACTTCCGTAACTCAACCTTGGGATTTATGATTAGGGTTTCATCTCAATATAATGTTAGTACAATGTAACCAGACCTAACCCTAGTTAGTTGACTACATATTGAGGTAGATTTTAGGCCTTCTTAGATCTAGGTCCAAAACGATTAGTTGTTATTGGGTTTAGTCCACTCCTTTTTTGTTTAAGATGTAGGTCATTTGAAATTTATTACTTTTGTTATTGTGTCGATTTCACCCTTTGAGATCAATAATGAAAACACATTAAAAATCTAAATTTAATGCATTATTTCCTCGTAATTGAATTTCAGGATATAAATTTTGAATTCTTTCCTTGATAATATTTACCTAATTTAATCAATTATAAGTAAAGAACCACATATTATACCAATCAATTAGAGAAACATCCACATGAAATTATGTACATGACATACAGGTAAATAGTGTTATTATTAGCAATAAAAAAAACTTATTGATAAATCGTGTTACCTATAGTTAGGAACATAAATTAGAAGACTACCTATAAGTCATATACAAAAATAGATTAAAAAAAATTGTATGTTACCTAAAAAAAAAAGTACATAAAATACTATTACACATTGTTGAAAATATGAAGAACCACATATACAATATACCTACACCATAGGATAATATATCTACAAGAGTATATAATAGTAATAATTAATATATCTACATAATTATTGTGTTATAAATTAATTTTTACACGATTTATACTTTAGGGGTATAATAGGAATAACTAGATAATTTAAATATTAAAAAAAAAATCTACATAATAAAATACCAAAAATGAATGTAATCCTATTTGGCAGAAAAGTCAAAGGACTTACATCAATGACAACAAATACGAGGATTAAATCCAACTTATATTCTCAATGTTGGACTTATCCCAAATTTTTTATAGATTTTAACAAGTGGTTTGTTGTCGAAATTCCCAAAAACATTTCACCGGGAAATATCTATTGCGACACACATTTGCCAAGATAGGTTTATCCTGTCAAAGTTCGTTGGGATATAAAAAGTTTGATGGGGTAGGTCTATCGTAACAAAAGTCGATGATATATTTTCATCCTGATGAAATTTTGTTGAGATAGCTCTAGGGTTGGTCCAGTTACGTAGTGCTAACCCAAGATTGAAAAACTTAATTGTAAAGCCCTAGGTCGAGTTACGTGAATATCCAAGTATAATCGAGTCATAAGTGCCCTATAATAGGTTTAGGGTTTGGGTTCGAGGCATTCCACATCCTACTTTTTTAATTTAAGTTAAACATTACTATATATATGTATGGTTTGTTTTGACATTTACTTTCAATACTATTTACAATTATTCTCTTTTATATAGTTGGTGTAACTACATTAAATTTTAGCTTACACCATTGCAAAGGTATTGAGTACATTTCCCTACCATTGGGTAAGTGATCCAAAAATAGTATTTCTTTTTAACATTTTAAAATTAATAAAATCGAACAAATATAAGAAAAAAAGTGCATGGATATTAAAAAAAACCTACGTTTTGTTACATAATTCTAAACTATTCAAAGAATTGTGTTTTCTACAATATCCAAAGTTCTTAAAACACTCGAGTTATAAGTGTCGTATACCTAAGTTTTTGCATTTCCCCATAATGTGAGACTCAAAATTCAAACATATGATCCCAACATAGGACTTTAACCCCAATTTACGATGTAAACAAGAGACTATAGCCCTAGGTTGATTTTACTTTTGCCATGCTCAAGATCCATCTTGATATGCTAACTTGAGATCTAAGATCTCAATATGAGACTTGAACTCCAAATTTACCAGACCCATGGCACATACCATAAACCATGGTTTGAGAAAATGACTATATAAGTATGCTAGTGTTAGGGTTTGGGAGGAAAATGTCACAAGGAATACACATGTTAAAAGTTTATTCAGGTCAGTTCGATATTAAGGGAACCCAAAGAATTTAAACTATAGCCAAACAAACAAGTCAGTTCGATTTGGTATGAGTCAATTAAAAGAATCACTTATTTTTCACTAAAATTTGAATCAATCGGTTCACCAACTCTTATGACGATCCCTAAGTTTGACTTGAGATTCAAAACTAAATTGAAGAATAGTGACTCAAATTAGGGACGCCAAATCCAAGACCTCTATATCATTGACCCGAGACCTTAAGATTGAGACTCAAACTCTAAGACATGCACTTGCATACTAATGCCAACTATATTTTTCACAATGCATGAAGATTTTCATATTTATCCTTATACATGTTTTCAAATATTAAAAATACTAACAACATAATCTAGCTGCTTGGAAATTATTATATGGGTTTTGAAACATGTTGTTAATTATGAAACAAATGACCTTTTATTTTTGTTTTGTTTTTATAATTGACGATGTCTCAGTTTCATTCAACAATAATCTAAATGGTTATTTTCTGTTGCTTATATGAGATGGAATCAAATGTTGCACATATTCAAAGAGAGAGAGAGAGAGAGCTTCAAATCCAAGGGGGTTTTCCCCCTCGGATCCTTGAAGTTCTCCGATTTTTGGCATATCTATGCCGATATAGTATTCTTTTGGCAAATATATTGTCTCTGCAATGAATCCTTTGAATGTGCCTCATCTTGCGAGGTTGGTCTTTGAGGTGTTGTTGCTCGGTCATGATAGACATACAGTTGATTGGCACTTTGGGGCCATGGAGTGACTATGTGACGCTCTCTAGGTCATGTTTCGAAGGAAGATTAACTGTGTTTGTTCTTTTTTTTGTCGGTGTTGTTTTAGATTTTTAGTCTTGGTCTTTTTTGTTCAATAAAGTCCAGAAACTCTATGAGTTGTCTGTGTTTTTTTTTTCCCTCTCATAATTCCATAAACTTAGTTGGGTATTCTTAGTCTCTTTATGAGAGTTGTGTCGGTTAACAACTAGTTATGTGTTTGATGTCATCGGACTAGATTCGAAGAAACTACGGCGATAAAAATAGGTTATATAAAAGTTATTTTTAAGAGTGATTCCCTCCATTTCGTTTCGACTTTCAACTGGCTCAAGTCACTGGGGAAGTTTTCACCGAAGTATGCCATATTGCTATTTGGATGACCCCCTTTACTGTCCGTCCTTTGTACTCTTTTTTCCTATTGGTCTAATAAAATTATATTGCCATTTTATCAAAAGAACGCTACACATATTCTAATCCTAATTCATTAACCCCAAATACTT